GAAAAACTTTAGATATTTGTATGTGGAGATCCATATTCCATTCAATTGATAATGGTTCCCTTAGGTTTCTGAAAGGGGTCATCACGAACCAAATGGATAGAGAAGAAGTTCATGATTTAACCTGCAAAACCAAATTATATAATAAAATAAGTTTCTAGTGGCAGGGGAGAAAAATGAAAAGTTTAGAAAGACGAAGCATAGTAGTGAAAACTTTACATTTATAATAAGAGAAACTTCCTAATATAATGAATATTTAATATATTTATTTGTATATTTACAATTTTATTTTAATAGATTTTTTTAATAATTTTTGTATAATTTATAATTTTATTTTCCTTAAATTTAAATTTGATGATCATATCTATATTTTTAGTTTTTTATTTTTTTCTTTTATATTTATTTATTATTTATTAATAAGATATTATCTAACCCTTGTAACACTCATGTTCAGTCTCTTTCACTGTGTTGAGAATGGTGATTAGTGAAAGAGAAAAGTGAGAAGGGGAATTGATGAGAATAGAAGAAAATAAAAGAGTTGAGAAAAGAATAAGATTGAATGCCCACGATAGGAGCAATGTGACGCAGCGTTTAAAAAAGATGAGAATCTGACACATAGTTGATGGAGAAACAAGGAAAATTAATTAAAGGCAAAGGGAAGGGGTTGTTTGTGGTGGTGGGGGAAGGTGCCCTTGCAAAGGTACCTTAAGGGGGACTTTTAGGTCCATCTCTTCACACCTCTTTAAAAGCAAACTAAACCACAAACAAACAACACCCAAACACTAATGCGCTTATCCCTTTAAAATTAAAAACTAACTTTTTTTACTTGTTACTTAATATTATATGATACTTGTTAATCACTTCTAGATGTAAAATCAAATATCAAGTACTTATTTTAAATGTTATTTATTAATATTTTAATGTAGTGTTAACATAGTACACCTTAACAAACTTTTAAATATTAAAAAATAAAATATCTATCCTCGTCAAATAATCCTTTCAAATCTTTAAAAGATAAAAAATACAAACTATTTTATAAAAATTAAACAAAAAAGTTCACATTTTTATATAAATTAAAAATAATATTTCCAAAATTTTAAAATATAAAAGAAAAAACAGATTTTAAATTCACTATTTCTATAAGAACTAAAAACACAGTATTATTTCTTTGTTAACTTAGAAACAATTTATTTTCCTAAATATATATTAATTAATTAATTTGACTGTAGATTGGAAGAGACCCACTAAAATTTTTACACGTTTAATAATATCATCATTATTTTTTTTACAATTTTATAAAATTAACTCCCACTGTATTAATTAATTTATCATTTTATAAAATTAATCTTACAATTATTAATTCTAACAAAAATTATTATTATTATTAGGGTCTATAAATGAAAAAAAAATTAATATAATTAAAAAAAAAACTAAAATGATACTTTCACATGTTATTTATGAAATTCAAATGTCTAATTCAATAAGATTATAAACGAAAAAACGGTTATCTAAAAGATGATTCTTTTTAATTGATAATGATGAATTTCTTTAATATTTATATTTTACGATTCAGTTTATATATAAAAAAAATAAACTATATTAATAATATGTTAAAATTGCTTAAATTACAATAACACTCCAGATTTTTTTTAAAATTTTTATTTTATTTAAAAACACTACATTATCATATTGTTATTATTTTTTATATTGTTTATGTATTTGTTAAGTTTGAAAACATTATACTTACATTCCTAATAACAATAAAGACTATATATATATAGATGAGAAAGATAGAGTGATAAATATAATTTAAAAAATGTTATTATTTTAATCTATTTTGAAGATGAACATACAAAATTTTTAAACGAGTACGGTGAATAGAAACAGAACAAAAAAAAAATTCTTCAGTTATAATTTTAAAAAGTTATTTTCTTATTTCAGTTTATATAATATCCCATGACTTAAAAAAAAAAAAGTTATAGCTATAGTTATAGGCTCCATCATCAGAATCCATATAACCACACTAGGGAGGCACATATTAAAGGTTTTGGCTTAGTTCCACCTAAAATTGTACCGACACGAAATTTAGTGACCCTAGGATGTTTCACATTTGGTCATTTTTATTTACTATTCATCCCTCGTAATTTCTTCACCCAACCAAAACGAGGGGCATTCACATATCATTATCATACGCGGGGAGAAAGACAAAACAACACACACAAAAAAAAGTCTAAAAATAGTTAGTCAAAATTCATCCAAACAATCACCAAGAATTTGGACACAACACATTGAGAAAGAGGGGAAAATGCAAGTCATCTCTTATGGACCCTACATATTATTACTAAAGCCACGTGCACTATTATTTATTTATAAATCAAAGTAAAAAGAAAAAGAAAAAAACAAGCATGTGAAAGGATAAATGTGAATAAGAAGGTAAAAGGGAAATGGTCATACATAGAGAAGTGGGTGCTTGGTACGAAGGAGATGTAATGCAACAACAACCAATATTATTATTATTATTATTATTATTATTATTATTATTATTATTATTATTATGCTACTTTAATGAATTTGTAATAAATAAATAAATAATTAAAGTTGTTTTTGTTGAGTTAAAAATAATAGTGTAACAGTGATGAGATTAATTAGGGTTTGAATTTTTATTTTTTTTACCTTAAATGATTCTATTTGAGTGTATTGAAAAATTGTGGAGAAGTGGGGGCTGTGTTGGCAACACTATTCATTTATTAGCATTATGTTATTTTGTTGTGTTTGGAGACAGAAGGCAGAGAGAGATGATGCATTTCTTAATTTCATGAAGAAAAATCAGAAGAAAGAAGGACCCATGCAGACATCACCCATTTGGTAAGCTGCCAAACAGACACACCCTTTCAGCCTTTGGTCACATTACCAGTTAGTCAGACAAAAAAAAAAAAAATCACCAATTACTATAATTTTATTTACAACTTTCAATCTTCTGTTTCTGTTATTTTTTTTGTGAGAGGATGTATTGAATAAACATTTAAATAAAAAAGAAGAATATTAATTACTTGATGTTTTAAAAAATATATAAATTTAGAATAAATTTATTGGCATTAACTGAATTAATTACTATTTTCTTTAATTTAATAAACTAGATACATTAAATTAGAAGTGTTATTTAGTAAAATCTTTTATTACATTTATTATTAAGATTAACTGTAATCATGACTATAAAAATAACGTAAGGAGAACTATAACATTTCATTTAAGGTTTTTTATTTAATTTGTTTATACTACGAAACTTAATGTTATTTTATGTTTGTAAACGTAAATATTAAATAAAGTAAAAATGGTGAATTTCAATTTGGAAGGGAAGCTGCTGTGTGTCTGTCTCCACCACCACCAAGGCTATGACTTTTGCATACACTCTCCCTTCTATTGGGCAGTTTTTATTTTATTTTATTTTTTCCTAAATTGAAGATTACTGCTCCTCTTTAATCTCTCCTCACAAATTTTCATTTTTCCTATCTCATTTTTTGATATCATTTCTTCATCCTCCACCAAGAGCAACAACACCGTTCCTCTTCTTTCTTTTTTTCTTCTTCCCCTTTCCATTTCCCAGCTCTTGTTCTTATCCCTCTTTGTGTTTTTCCACCCCAAAGTGTGGAAAGGGGAAAAAAAAAAATCTAATAAAAAAAAAAGAAAAAAAAAAGCATCCACAACAAAACATGGGGTGGGGTGCTTTCTTTGCTTATTCTCTCAATTAGTTATCCTTTGATATTTTTTTTTCTGATAGATCGGCGTTGTTTCATTTTCTTCTGTAAGTTTTCTGCACCCTTTCGTTTAATATCCTTTGGTCTGATCACTCTGTGGTTTTCTAGGATTCAAAACCTATAAAGTTTTAATTTTTCTGGGTTTTTAAAATTATTTTTGGGGTTTGATTGGAGTATTCAGCCTTTTCCCAATGTTTTTGGGCTGTGTATATGGTTACCTAACATTTTACAGCTTTCCTCCACAACCCTCCACCCCCTCTGATAAACTATGCTGGTTTTTGTTGGGTGTTGAATTGTTTAATCCAGCCTTGTTTTGAAACGTTGCGAGATTTTTGCTGATCTCCAAAAATTTCATTTTTCTTTTTCTGTTTTGTTCATCATGTTGTGTAGAAAGGAGTTGACTTTATTGTTATTCTTTGGGGTTATGATTTTCTTTCTCTTCTGGGTAGGTAATTTTCTCAGGTGTTAATCAATTGGTAATGCTGCATTATTGTGTTTTGTACTGTAGGGTTCCTTAGTTGATAAAAGAGGTGTCTGAGTTGCGATGGTTGTTGATTGTGGTGTTTGAAAATACTCTCCTTGTTCTCCATCCTGGGCTTAGTGTTTGGCAAGTTTAGTTGTACATTGATTTCATTGGTGTACGTGATAAAAAAAGTGTTTTCGTTTTGTTGGTTTGTGCCATGATGTAAAATTTGTGTGGACAAAACATGAGCTGTTCTATTGTAACTATTGCTGTTGATTTTTAACAATTTTCTGAAACAAATACAGATGATTGCCTCTTAGGTGGATAAGTCCTCTACCTGCTGGTTTCTTCAACCTTCCCCCATTATGGTTTCAGACTCTCAGCAGATACTACGTAATGTGTCTGAATATTGATAAGAATCTTGTATGCTTATCCTCGCAATGGATTTAGCTACTTCTTGTATAAAGGGAATCAATATAGAGCCCAAGCCCTGCTGCTACTACTACAAATATATGTTTACTAGTTGTGACTGTGGTGTTGCTTTTTGAGTTTTAGTAACATAACGCATTTTGAAATATTTATCCGAACCTGGGTTTCCAAATGATCACTATTTTATGTCATTTACACATTTTACTTGTACTGAATTGGGTATGTCCATTTTCAGTGCCTAATTCACTTTCTTGTGTGTTGGACAGATTTGCTAAGCTGAGTGCGTCGTGCTTTTTCATCGAGGATTCCTCTCATATATTTAACTTTCCTGTGTTCGGAAACTTTAGATATCTTCAATGCAAGGGCAGAGAGGTACACTTGGTTCCTTGCAAGAAACTATAGAATTTGATACATCAAGTGCTGCAACAGTTGATCAACATATTTTCTGGAATAATATGCGTAATCCTGCAGAAAATCATTTTGCACTTCCCCCCAGTGATTTGAACCCTTCATACCCGAATCCTATGAACCATGAATGGCAGAACCTCAGTGGATGGAGCTTAGGCGAGCCAAGTTCCAGTAATACTCAGAATGAGGTTACCAACAATGAGCAGAAGAGAGAGCTAGGTTTATCATCTTCCATAAGTTCTGGTTCTTTGGCTGGTCCAAGACTTGAAGAAAGGCGCTTTGAACCAAACAATACATTTTCATTGGACAACGTGAATACAACTCCGGTGTATATGCGCAGCTCCAATTCTCACTTGATGCCACATAATCTCAACCTAAATGCAAGTTTAGCAGATAGTGGCACTGATAATAGCTATCGAGTGGAACATCCTCCGAACTTGAACAAGTCTAGTGGGTCGGTAACTGAGCATATTCCACCTTCAATTGGTTCCGGTCCTTTTCTGCTTCCTTCTGGCACTAATGGCTTTTTAGTTGAGGATACTGATAGTAGGCCAGGTTGTTCTCTAGATACCCGCCGAGTATCTTGTAAAAGAAAGGCTGTTGAACGAAGTGTTGGGCAATCTTCGGGTGGTGGAAGTTCTAGCTATAGTCAGCATACAGATGGTAGTACTTGGAACACCCTTCCTACTCAGGATTATGGGGGGAGCAGTTTTAACAGATCTGCCTCGACTGAACAGGTAAGTGCGAGACTTGGCCTGAGTACAGGGGATGCAGCCTCTGAGAGCATTCCTGGGTCCAATGTTGCAGGAAGCTCAGAAATCTTCCACAGAAATTTTCGTCTCAGGATAAATCCTTCAAGTCAACAAATTTCCATTCCTCCCCCTGCAATCTCAAGTGGGAGTGTTATTAGGAATTCTGGTGTTTCTTCAGCCTCTCCAATGTTTCAACGATTCCATCCTGTTGATAATTCTTTGGAGTTGAGGTCAGCACCACCTGTTGATACTATGGTTCCTCAAAGCCAGCCCCTTGTAATTCATGTTCCAGCTTTACCGAGGAATGTGCAGCCATTCAGGTGGAATGGAGCTTCCAGCTCAACAAACAATCATCCATCAAACTCAGTTGTATGTGCCGATAGAAATAATTTACCAAACGAGGAAGCAAGCTCAAGAAGTATGCCTAGAAACATTGTAGAATACCCAATGTATGTGCCCGCAACCAATTTAAGAAATGTGGTTAGAAATCCAACTAGAGCTGCAAATAGTGCAAATTTAAGTATTCCAGGAAATGTTGGTTCTTCATCGAGGACAGGCTCAAATTCAGCTGTCAATCCGCCATCTGCCCCCGCATGGGTTTCTCGCCCTAATCCTCAGCAGTATCCTCGCAGGTTATCTGAATATGTTCGTCGGTCCTTGTTTTCTCCTGGTTTGGAAGCTGCTGGAAGTTCAAACAACAATTATGCTTCCTTCCGTGGTCCTTCTACTTCATCTGGGGTAAACCCATTTGAGAGGCAAGGTGATAGTGAATTTGGAATTCAGTATTCTTTACGATCTTTGGCTGCTGGGGGTGAAGGAAGTAGTAGGCTTGTATCTGAGGTATGTATAATGTATTCCACTCTTCTCCTGCATATCATATCATTAGTATTATAATTGCAGTTGCAACTTGTGGAAAAGGTTGTTTCTTTATTGTGTCTTGTATGTGTGGAGGCATCTGTGATATCAGTCTCTTTTTCTTTGAAAAAATTACATTTTTTTTATAGAAATAAATATTTGATCTTAGGCTCAGGCCTTAAGAGTTTATTTAAGGAAACCTGCAGGCTGGATGAGGTAGGGTTTTGACATTAACAATTTACTATGATTTCTGGTAAGCAAAATATGAAGTCTAATATAAGAGAAAGTATGGTCAGATTTTACTCCTATGGTTTCTCAATAATCACACTGGTTTCGACTGAAATGCTTGAGTTACTACTTTGGCTAAACGATCACAATTCCCAAGCTTTGTTTCTGGTACATTTTTGAGTGGCAATGTTTTTAACCACTTTTAGGAATACTTGTTCTCTTGGACTTGACATTTACTTCTGTGCAGCTCCGCAATGTGTTGGGCCTCATGCGTAGGGGTGGGAACCTGCGATTTGAGGTTAGTTTTATTTCAAATTTATGGTATATGTTGACAATGCACTGATATTGAGTAAAGCTTTCTTGGCTCCCTTTTTATCTTCTGTTAATAGTGTGCCACAGTAGCTTCAAACTGGTTCAATTCTTGTACGAAAGTTATGAATACTTCTCATGTTTTATTGTTTGGATAGAGCCATTGAATTGTTATGTTGCTAAGGTTTTTAATGTTCATATCAAATGAACATTAGAAAACAATAAATAATTTATAAGAATATATTAGGGATTGAGGGAAACTTTTGAAAGAGTGCTTGTGGGTTCCCAAGAAAGGTTATAGCGAAACAAATTGTATACTTTGTACTTTCATAGAAAATAAGCCTGACTTTTCCTATATAAAAATTTGTGTAATGGAATCTGTAGTGATCTCAGTGTGCTTATGTTATGTTAGAGTTACTTGGAATGCAAGAAATATTAGGATTATCAACTAATGTTGAGGCAGTGAAGTCTGGCTGTGGAGTCCTGTGCTGTGAAAGATACTAAAAGGTCTAGTGTTATGTGTCTTTGGGGGGACGGGGATCTGGACACTAGCATGAATTCTATATTGTGCAATAAGTTTTGTTGGTATCTATCTCCTACTTTGGCTGCAAAGTGAAACTGCTTAGGGTGTAGTTGAAAGTTATATATTCAATGGATTTTGTTTTGATTTGGGGAAATTACATCTGCAATCAACCAGCTTAAAAGTGACGTGATTGTTATCTGTTTATCTCATCTAGGTTGTATGTAAGCCATTTGAACTAAAACATTTATACTAAGCTGTAAGGCATGTGGTTTGATGTTATGGCAGGATGTTATGATCCTCGACCATTCAGTGTTTGCTGGAATTGCTGATATTCATGATCGACACAGGGATATGCGACTTGATGTTGATAACATGTCTTATGAGGTAAAACCTTGTTTCCACATTTCTATGCTCATGTGTCCTTCAGTCCCTTACTAATTATAGTTTCTATTATGTAACCTTTACGAATATAATAGGAGCTATTGGCTTTGGAAGAACGCATTGGAAATGTGAGCACAGGCTTGAGTGAGGAGACCATTTTGAAACACTTGAAAAAGAAAAAGTATTCAGCTGAACCAGGTTCTCAGCATGAGGCAGAACCCTGTTGTGTTTGTCAGGTAAACTTCCCTACGTGATACTTTGTCCTCAGCATGCATGTTCACATTATAACCTATGATTACTTTGTTTATGCATGTTTGTGCACATTAGTCTTATTATAACTTGTGTTATGTTATGTGCAGGAGGAGTACAAAGATGGAGATGATTTAGGATCACTGGCTTGTGGGCATGATTACCATACCGAATGTATCAAGCAGTGGCTAATGCATAAGAATTTGTGTCCCATTTGTAAGACAACAGGCTTGGCGACATGAAACTTTGTATCAAGGGCTTGAAAACATAAGACTTGTATCAAAATATTTTGGCTTAGAAGATGAACATTGAGGTCAAGGAAAGTGGCACAATTAATCAGAATTTTCTGCTGAATTGTAGCTGAAGTCTCTGGTGCTATGCTACTTTCTAAAATGGTTCATCTTCTCAAGCCTTAGCCAAATTTCTTATTATCATTTTTTGTTAATTTGTAGAAGAAGCCAATGATCTCCGTTCAAGTGACACATGAGATGATTGGTTGGGATAAAGCAACATTTCTCAACTGTAGTTTATAAAGCTTGTTTTATACATTTATGAATTTTTTTACACATTGCTTATTTTGTTTTGCTCTTATTCGGTTTTTGATGTGATTGATCTATGGATTAAAGGTAAATTAGCTTTAGAAAATGGTTTAAATGCATGATGTAAACGATTAATGTGAAATACTAGTCTTGCATTGTGTTTTCTTTTAATCTGTAGTTGGAAGAGTTTATCTGCAATTTATTTTATGCAAGTGAAAGAGTTTATGGTTTAAATGCATGATGTAAACGATTAATGTGAAATACTAGTCTTGCATTGTTTTCTTTTAGTCTGTAGTTGGAAGAGTTTATCTGCAATTTATTTTATGCAAGTGAAAGAGTTTATGGAAAAAATGATCTTATCTTTATTAGATTTTTTCACCTTGTTTGAGGAAGTTCTTTAGGATGGTTTATGAAAATAGATTTTAGTTTTTATGAAAATGTTCTTTTCATAGGAATATTTTAAATCGATTAGATTCAATGAGAACTAAAGAAAAATCGAAATTAAAAATAAAAATATTTTACTGAAATTAATAGCACAAATATTTTACCCTAAACAAGTTTCTGGTGAATTTTCAAATTACCAACAAAACAAAAGTACCCAATTTATCGATAGATTGGACAAATAAATATTAAATATTCAATCTCATGGAACCTTCTAGCCATAAAGTGCTGGAGATCTCAACCACTTTCCATACAACATAATTATTAGTCTTTTATTTCCTTCATAAATGTTATGGATATATAATTTTAATTTAATCATTAATTTATACAAGATTTTCAACCTAAAATAAAACTAATGCATAATAATTAAAAATTAATATTTGATTAAAAATTAAAAAATCAGTCCATTTAAAATATTTTTAGATAATTAAAAAATTATTATTTTTGTAAAAAAATAAAATAAAATTAAGGCACAGGTCTTGTTTTTTTTATTACAGAGAGAATTAACTTGGAGTTGGAAGTAGTCAAATTACTTACTAATCACCATCAAAGAATAATTTAATTTTCTCCACTCTAAAAAAATGTTGAATATCTTCTCGGATTCTTAAATGTAAAACATTTTTCTCTAATCTTTATAAGCATCGAAATTTAAAATTAATATCTAAATAAATATAAGATTCTTCATTCATATTTATCATTTCAATAGATGACATTCATTAACTACATTAAACTTTTATAATGTCACGTTAGAAATCTCAATTGTCACATTTTTTTTCATGTGATTATCATGTCACAAAAATTTATAATGAAGTATTATAATGTGTCATTTTTTTTAACTTTGTTATATAGATAAATGTTTATTTCATCTAAATCTCCATATTATTTTTTATTCCTTTCGTTTAGGAGTTAAAATTAGAAAATAGAAAAAATCTGGTTAATCCATGAGAACATATTATTTATATATTAAAATAAAAATAAAAATAATTATAATTAAAAATATTATATTTTTTATTATCTTATTGATATATGTAAATATATTATGTTATAATTTAAATAATAAATATTAACTAATTAAATTTAAATTTTAAATTATAATGAAGTATTTTTAACACGAAAATATAATAATATTTTTAAATTTATCTAATAAAAATTAATCAATAAATAAAAATTTAAAAAGTTCATATAATTAAAGATACATACAAAAATTATATAAAAAATATATCATAAAATAATAACGAATGTTGACTATTGATTTTGAAGGATAAAATAATTTATTATAATAATAAATAAAGACAAAAAAAATAGAAAACTATAAAAGGTCAAATTTATAAATATATAAATAAATATATTTATTAATTATTAATTTTTGAGAAATTAAAATCATAAATATTAATATAAATTATAAAACTTTAAGAATAATTATTAAATTTTTATATATATATATATATATATATATATATATATATATATATATAATTATAGTCTTCCAACAAGATATAAACGGTTAATTCGCTCTGCTCTATTTTCATAAGTTAAGAGACAAAATGAGTTTTTCAATTTTATCCTCCCTAACTTTAATAATTTTATATGTCACGAATATTAAACTCCAAAAAAATAAAAAAAATATTTATTATGATATATTAGTATATATATAATTAAAAAATAAAATAAATTATTTGTATTCAATAAGCCTCTTTAGATGAATAATATTTTTATTAATTTAAAAATTTAAAATGATAATGCTAAGTATAATAAAACGGTAGATTTAAGTATTTTTTAGTTTGAATGAAATAGATAGAGTAGTTATTATAAAATGGAACAAATTTTATGGACCTTGAGAAATACATAGTGGGCCGAGTTGGACCTTGACCCCTCTAGTTGTAGGTGTGTTTGAATTGGGAAAATTATGAGAGAAGACGTTACCAAAAGTAGCCTCGGGAATTGCACATTTCCTCTCTTCATTAAATTGGTCTCCTTTTGTTTGGTTGGATAAGCTGTGAAGATTACAATGACGTCTTTTGACTTTCCCTCCTTTTCTTAAATACATTTTTTCTTCTCTATTTTTTCTCATTAATAAGCACTTTTTTTAAATTATAATTTTTATCAAAATTATATACGGAATAAAAAAGAGATATAAGTATATAAAATTATATACTGTTACTTATTATTATGAAATTTTAATTTAGTAATAATAATTAGATATCATAAGAAAAATCATAACATAAGTTTTGGAATATCATATGAAAAATTATATTCTATGAACTATTATAAAAACACTCTACGATGCTATTTATAAAGTTTGAATTTTCAAAAATCATTAAATATATTTTTGAATATATTCTTGTGTGGAGTATTTATCTTTCTTTCTTTGCGTCAAATTATTTAAACAGCTAATAAAATTCAACACGGTAAGATAAAATAACAATAAAAATAAACTGTTTCAGACACTGCAATGAATAAATAATTAGTTTTCTAGGATAAAATATTTAACAAACTACCAATAATATATATTTTTTAAAATAAATTAGTGCTATCATTTTGTACGTATTTATTTTATTCATACCTCAATCATTGAGCTCATCTTGGAATTCAAATAAAAAAAATTATCATAAAAAGATAAATGTGCGTATTTTCAAATTTTAAGTACGAAATTATTTATAATTCGTTTAAGTTTGAATTTAAGTTTTCATGTTATATAGTTAAACTCATTTAGCAGTTAATAGATCCACACATAAATTATAATCATCAACATGAATATACATAGTGTAAACATAATAAAAATTTATACCATTAATAAATTTAAAATAAATAGTAAAATAATTTAATATAAGAAGTAACTACGGTAAGTGCTGAGAAAACTTTGAACTAACACTAATACAACAAGAATATAACTCTTTTATGTAAACATTACGAGATGAGTATATATATAAGTTTTACGTGATTTTAATTCTTAAATAATATAATATTTATAAATTTATCATAACATAAGTTTTTTTTAATTAAAAATTATGGATAATAACGTGAGATTTTACTTTGAATCCTACAATAAATATTAAACGAGAATATCTGAACTCAGATCAATTTTAATACTGAGAATTATAATAACAATCATTAATAGATATTAATAAAAAATAATATTAATTTATTTTTAAAAAATTGAGTAAATTAAAGCTAAAAATAATAATATTACAAAAATTAAAAAAATTAAAAGGATACTACTATTTAACCTTGTACTAAAGCCCATTTAAAACGTTAATCCCGCTTACACAAATCCTCTTCTCCCGGTTGCTCGTATTTCCAACCTGCTGAGCAGAGCATAGCAGACCACAACACATTGTCAACATTCTCATTCTCTCTCCTTTCTTTCTCATTTGTTCCACCTTTGATCTCTCAACTTTCAAGTTCAATGGGTGGTGACATGCACCAGCCACAACCCTCTCTTGGGAGAACCTTCCCTCCTAATTCAGAAGAGTTCTCAACCTTCTTCAACCAATTCCTCCACAACTCTCCCCCACTAGGAATGGACCCCAATCATTCTGCCTCTGATTTCATCCCTCACAACAACACCAACAACCCTGGTCCTTCCTCTTCCTCAAATTTCCATTTCCCGCACCCCCATCACTACATCCCTGCCACTGATGACAACACCTTCAAACAACACAACAATAATCACACCCCTGATTTCACTTCTTCTGTTGAGGTATCCCCCCTCCTTGTTTTTTGGTTCCCCACAAAAAACTTGGCATCTCTTACGCACACCCTTTGAACCCACCTCTTAAATTTCAATATCAAAATTGAAACTTGCTCGACATCAAAATTCTCTTAATACTATTAGTCAAGGTTTTATATTCCGATCACACAGTTGCGTTTTCATTGCGATGCTTGGTGTCGTGAGAAATTGTACATAAATATCGCCGATGTGGTCATAATTGTAATAGTGAAAACCCAAACTGCCTTTCAAAATTATGTTTTTTAGAACCTTGCTGACAGTTAATACCTTTTTAGCCTCGAAGCTCTAAGGAAACTTAGAAGACAGTTGGGTAGATCTTTTGAAAATTCAAAATTGCGTTTTGGATGCCTTTTTTTTTTTTTTTATGTTAGTGAGTGAAACTTTGTTTTGTTTTTGATAGAAGAGTGTGGAGGCAACGAATCCTGTCCCACCACCACGTTCTTCATCAAAGAGGAGTAGAGCTGCAGAGTTCCATAATTTGTCTGAAAAGGTTATTTTTTTATCCTTCAATTTTATGAGAAATCTTTTTTATTTTCTTTGTTGTTATTGACGATTATGATGTGTGCAGAGAAGAAGAACTAGGATTAACGAGAAAATGAAAGCCTTGCAGAATTTAATTCCAAATTCTAATAAGGTACTATATCTCTATTCTCTACATATATTCATCTAATCCTTTTCTTATTCATTAAGTTAATTTATGTTACCAAAGATTTTCTTTTCGGTTTTGTGAATTATTTTCTTCTGGATGAGTCCTTTGTATTTGTTTTCAACAGACAGACAAAGCTTCAATGCTAGATGAGGCCATTGAATATTTAAAGCAGCTTCAGCTTCAAGTGCAAGTGAGTTTTCTTTCTTTCGGCTTGCGATATTATATGATCACTCCTTGGACATGCTTATAAATTCTTGCGTTCTCTACTTGACTCATATGTATTCCTTTGCATTTTCATTTTAGTTACTTATTTCACGTATTTTCGTTTTCATGAATACTTTTTTGTGCAATTTTTAGTTAGCTCAATCTTAATTTTATAGTTTCTATGGGATTTTCGACAATAACTGAGTATTTAGAGAGTAAAAATTTTTGTATGATCCAGAGATTTGCTGGGACCATTTACACATAGTGGTCCTGAACCATACAGTAATTTACTATTAGAGAGTATGTTACATACAAGTACTCATTACTCGTATTTTTGTGATCAATGAAAGGACAAATTTTCCGTTTAGGTTTTTACTTGAGATGAACACTTGAGAACTTCATAACCTGCTTTGGGCAGTGCAATCAACTGTCATGCTGCTAAGTTACGATTTGCAGAATCATTAAACAATAAATATTATGACTGTTAGCTCGCATGCTCAACCATGATTTCACATGGAGGTTTCTTTTGTTAGTCACCAAAGATAAACTTTACATCAGTGCTACATTAACTCGAGAGTTAAGAGGGTCTGTGAACTCCTGAATATTCTTGTTGTACACATTGTCCTAAACCATGGCATGTGCCGTAGATAAAACAAAAGTTGTTTCAATTCTTTTAGGTACGTTTTTTCACACTGAATTTTTCGAAAAAACTTAGGAGTGTTTGTTTGGGTTAAAGTTGGAAAAGCCCAAAAGTACAATTACTTTGAAAGCAACTGTTTTTTCCTTCTTCATATGATACATTGGAATTTGTTATTATGCATTAAAATTCGTAAAAATATTTTCTTAACTTTATTTCAAACATAGCCTAGTGGTTAGGTGAAGACACACATGATTTTTATATTACGTTTTTCACAAGAGCCCTTTCACTTGAAACACGAGTAATGCAAAGGTCTACTACATTGTTGTGAAATTCAATTTTTTAGAAGAAAAAGAGCAACAATGATCAAACTTTAGAGCACTAGGCCATAGAGGCTTTGATATTATGTTATAAACCAACTATCATAAAGGTTTAAATTGTTAGGCGAAGGCACATGAGTGGTTTTTATATTACATCTCTAACACGTTTTAGAGTAGGTACAACATCTTGAACATGTAAAAATGTCCAAGGGGCTAACTATTAATTGACTCACTTTAGTTAATTTCTGGGGGCAAAAAGAAGAGAAAAGGCTTGGAAGTTGGTATTGCCATATTTAGGTTATTTGGGTCTATTACTTATCCATTGACTAATGGTTACTTTAGTGCTTGTGATTGATTCTGCAGATGTTAATGGTGAGAAATGGTTTGAGCTTGCATCCAATGTCTTTGCCAGGAGAATTAAGACCTACGATAATGGCTCAGACTGGGTTGAACCTTGATGAGAGTGACAGATTTCAGAATTCTACTAGTGCAATTGCGTCATCTTCGAATAAAGAAAACTTGGTGCGGCATGCTTTTAGTTTTCCAGAGCAATGCAGCATCTCAAATCAGTCTGTTGTTGTACCTTCAGTGACAAAATTAGCTAATTCGAATATCCCATCCGCTTTTCATCCTTCTGTTAAGGTACATGCTTGGTACTTCAACCCCTCGATATCATCCTACATAGTTGTCATGATGGAGAAATTATAATATATTCTGATATCAGATGTGTTCATTGTTCATGTCAATGCCCATATGACTTACAAATTGAAAAACTCATCTGGAGATTAATCTGAATCATATGATAATTTTTCTTCATGATCAGTACTTTTTTGTTTTAATATATGTTAGACTTAACAACTCTTCTTTGTGCAATATGAAGGAAACACCCTACGACAACATGCCACAACTGTTTATGGATGCACCAAAGATTGGGAAAGACCCTTCTCCAGACGTGTCTTAAACAGTTCGAGGGATAAAAGGGTTTTTGTAGATGGCAAGTCACCTTGTAAAAGGGTAGATTTGTTCAGGCATATTATAGTCTACATCTAAATCTGACTGCATGATACTCCATTGGGGTTGATCGTGCTGCTGTCCGTAACAGGTCCTTGTTGACACTAGTATAAAAATGTAAAAGTATTTTATAACTTCATCAATTGCAAAATGAAGCTAATGAACATTATGCAACATTCAACTTGTGATATTTTTGGATTTGTTATATTCTTGGTTGATTAGATATATACCGTATGTGCTAGAGTAGAGAAAACATTAGTATGATATTATTGTCATGTTCAAGAATGACCATATCTTGTAATATCAGACAGTGTGTTTCATCGTGAGTTTTTTCAATTTATAGTGGACAACTACACAAGGTTTCATTAATCCAACTAGAGCACAAAAACACTAGCTGCATGTTTGGATTGACGATGTGTACTTTAGACATGCGTCACCTGTAGTAACTAATAGTTGTTTTTGGTTATTTCTTTTTGTCCTTAAATTTGGTAAGCTTGGTCTAAAAGAGTGTGGATAATGATTATAAAATTATCAGTAAAAATTGTCATAAAGAAAATACAGATAGAATATAAAGAGAGAGCATGAACTGTTAGCAATGCACTGTAACGTAAGAAAAACATGTAATGAGTAACCCTCTACCTAGCTAGGAAGAAGGAGTATGTGGAGTGTCGGAAATGAAAAAGACTTGGAGCATGAAATGAAGATTGAAGACAAGCATGTTGTTGAAAAAACAAAGCTAAATTCCTTCTACGGAATCACTTGACACTAGTGATCACTAACCATGTTCCATCATTTCTACTTCTGTACCTCTGAGTGCGGATGTGGTCTTCTACAGTAAGATGTTTGGATACTAGAGCTTTCCCTGAACATGTTGACTATACATATTTGTTCAATTTTTTGCTGAATAACAATACGCAAAATAAACTAACTTTGTAAATGCAACTCTTTACTATCTTAACAAGCTGAATTTAATGATTCTCATACACTCCTATGGCATACAATGGTTAAATAGAATGTTAACATTCCGAAGACAAAATGGATATATCTTAAGGTGGTGTGTGAATATATAATTCATTTTTAATTTATGAAAATGGTTTTTTTCCTATAATTTTCCTATAACAAATGGAGAATTATCAAACTGGTTTGTATTGTACCATTAGAGCCAGTTGAAGTGAAAGTTACATAATGAGATAGTTTCATATAAGGGACAGTAACATGACCAAAAAGAAAAGATGTATGGTGTGGGGTTCATTAGAATTTCACCATTGTAAAAGAAAAAAAAGGTGTGCTTAAGTTTAATAAAGTTAAGAACTGGTGTGTTATACTAAGAATCATATGAAAATTATAAATAATAAAGTTATGCAACCCTACTGAGCTGCCCTCATACCTTTTAGAGATTCCCTAAGCTTTACAAAAAAGTTTGTAAAAGTAAATTATTTTTAACTTATGATTAAGCTCTTATTAATAAAAAATATTAATTAATTAAATTATTTACCTAAACGTGTCTAAGCAGCCACCCTGATTTTGCTTTTAAACAAAAAAAAAAAACCACCCTGATTATGTTAGTTGTCTTTTGGGCCAGATTCTCACAGTTGGGTTAATCCAGACATTTTATTTTATGATATGAATGAATAATAATAAAAAAAAAGGGAGAGGGGCAAGAGTGGAAATTAAAAGAAACTTCTGCATCGACCACCTCGTCATTTCCATTTCCATTCTCGGTGGTGTTCTTCAATTTTCATCCATGGCTTTCCCTCAGCACCACTTCCAAAGGCACTACCAAACCCAACAACAACAGCAGCAGACCAAACCTTTCAGGTAATTATTATAATTATCCTCTCAATTTTTATTGAAATCCAAACCATTTCCCTTCCTTTCAACCCTTTTGATTTTTATTTAAAAATTTCTCTTTGCAATTTCATCTGCTTTGCCTCTTTATATTTCCCCCTTTATTGTTTTCTCTTGCTTTCAGAAATCTACAAACAATCGATGGTCAGATGTCACAGCAAGTGGCGTTTTACAACCCTACTGATTTGCAAGATCAGTCCCAGCATCCACCCTATATTCCTCCCTGTATGTAAAATTCTTCAACTTTACCTTTCCTCTGTTCAATTTTGGTCCTTTTATTTTAGTTGCATATGTTTTTAATGCTCTGGAAAATATTAACCCTTTAGGAAATGAACCTAGCTAGCTTTGTTGGTGGCACCTCTTTTTGTCATTTTGAGTCGAAGTTGTTTCTTTTGTATTGTGGGATGATTCAACCACTGGGAAGTTAGAATTTTTAAGTCTCTGTGTGTGTTTTTCCTTAACATTTCTTATGGGGTAGTTGTGGGGTTGACATAGTAAGTTAAATCCTAGATTTCGTGTGTTATGACTTTTTTCCTTTGTTGTTGTCTAGTCCATGTTGTTGGGTTTGCTCCGGGTCCTGTTCCTCCTGCTGATGGCAGTGATGGTGGAGTTGATTTGCAATTGCAATGGAATTATGGTTTGGAACCAGAGAGGAAGAGACTTAAAGAACAGGACTTTTTGGAGAACAATTCTCAGATATCTTCTGTTGATTTCCTCCAACCACGATCAGTGTCAACTGGGTTAGGCTTGTCACTGGATAATACTCGCCTGACATCCACTGGAGACTCAGCTTTGTTGTCGCTCATAGGTGATGACATTGAGCGTGAGCTGCAGCAGCAGGATGTAGAGATAGACAGATTCCTCAAAGTGCAGGTAAGCTCAGGTTTTAATGCCATGTTTACAATTTTATTGGTTACATGTTCAAGGTAAACTATTTAAACTTAAACCCATTTATTGTGAGGCTTGATAGATTCCTCCATGAGTAGATTATATACCTCATTATTGATGCACTGCTGTTGTATTTTCTATTGTTGATAATTGGATCTGTTTAGTGTTTGATTGAACTAGGCTTTTGTTAGTATTTCTCTTCTAACTGATATTTTAATTTGAATGAACCATGCTTTCTGTTATCTGGTTTTATGAATAAAAGAAATACCTATTAGTAGTGAGTTATAAGATGTAATGGAAATGGAAGCTTGATAGAATTCTCATTACACGGTGCTGAATTGCCGTGATCAAACGAAGGATCTACCTGCATCCATTCTAGGCATTTATACGCCTTGAGTAAAAGCTACTCTGATTGTTTTCTGTATTGCAGTGACCCCCCTCCCCCAAATTCTTGTCTGAACTTATAAATGAAAGCAATGCCAATGGTTAATGATCTATTATCTGTTCCACGTAATGCTTTTCATGTTATGGACTTCTTAAAGTTTGCATATTTTCTATCAAATAACTCCGTTGGTCAACACTTGAAGGAAAAAGGTGAACGCCCTGCCTGCAAGCGCACACACTTTCATATAACTTCAAAACCAGGGATCTTTGTCGTCTTTAGTTTCAATGAATAGTGACTGCCCGGAATTTAATGATGAATTTTTAAATATTTATGATTAGCGAGGAGAAGGATGTGATATGCATGTATGAGATATGCTCAATTTTTTATTGTTCTGGAGAGTAATCCACCTTTTCTTTGCTTCTTGCTGTTATAGAATAATCAGATCAGTTTAGTTTCTTTAGAAGGTTTGTCAAATGCAAGAACCGATGAGAAAAGTTTATTAACTACAGTTCTTCCTAAAAATATACATGCATCAATGATTACGTTATTAGATAAATCTGGTTAAGCCTCATCATTGTCTCATTCTGTAATTATGGCAGTATCAATAAACTGGTTTTCTCTTAAATAATTGCTTCTAAATTCGAATTCCTTTCTGTACTACATTAGGACTTGTGTCTTCTAACCTGATTTTGCATCTGTGTAAATGAGGGGAAAAAACCTCTGATTTGAAGATGCAACATAATTAATCTTCTCCTTTCTACTAGGGTGAAAGACTGCGGCAATCAATCTTAGAGAAGGTTCAAGCAACACAGCTTCAGAGTGTTTCACTCATCGAAGACAAAGTCCTTCAGAAACTTCGTGAGAAAGAAGCTGAGGTAGAAAGCATCAACAAGAGGAACATGGAACTCGAAGATCGAATGGAGCAGTTGACTGTGGAAGCTGGTTCATGGCAGCAGCGAGCAAGATACAATGAAAACATGATTGCTGCTCTCAAGTTCAACCTTCAGCAAGCATATGTCCAAAGCAGAGATAGTAAAGAAGGATGTGGCGACAGTGAGGTTGACGATACAGCTTCTTGCTGCAACGGGCGTACCCTTGATTTTCATCTGCTTTCCAAGGAGAACACAGATATGAAAGAGATGATGACATGCAAGGCTTGCAGAGTGAATGAAGTGACCATGGTTTTGTTACCTTGTAAGCATCTTTGCCTCTGTAAAGATTGTGAAAGTAAGCTTAGTTTCTGTCCTCTATGCCAATCCTCCAAATTTATAGGCATGGAGGTCTACATGTAACTGCAAAGTATACTTTTACACGTGAAATCTCTAATTTCGTGTCATTATTATGTGCGTCTGTTCTTAGCTCGTGTCTCTGAGGACCATGACACCTTGTAATTAGTTTTTAAGATGCATTTGACCCTAATGAATTTCACTTGTTTGAGAACAATGCTTATTAAAAGCATCATGCACCGATGCACATGACATTTATACTTTGTATCTCAACCTTGTTTTCCAAAAGAAAATTGTTACAGGAGTTAATCTTACTATGCTGTGAATGTTTTCCACATATAAGTTGTTTCCGAAACATATTTTCTTCTTAATGTCATTCAGATGTTTATTGTCTGAATATGTAGTGTGGTCACTGATTTTACATGCTGCATTGGTGAGAATGTCATCTAGGTTACAGTTAAAGCTGGGAATTGTTAAACATACATATTTATAACATGTTTTTATGGATTACTATACAAAATGGAAACATGTTTCTGTTTGGATGGAGGTTTCATTCCCAAGAATACAAAACAAACATGCATTTTCGTTTTGTATAATCTATTTTGAAGACAAAAATCATTTTTTGTATGAAGAGGATTATAAATACATAAAATAAGTATAATAATATAACATAAAAAAGTAGAAAGTACTTGCTCTCATACGTATGAATATACTGTGAACAGAACAGTTCCTAACTGGTTTCTTTAGAGTAGTTTATTACAAGTTAGTTAGATTGTTTACAATTATTATCAAATATTCTCTTTTGTATAAATGTCATCAGAATTTGGACGCACTGCTTCTTTTTGTTACGATCAATCTGATCAAAATTTTCAATCTCCTCCTTCCAAGCCAAATCAAGAATAACAACAATATTCATAGCACATAGTAATAACAACAACAATAGCAATTTTAATGGCAATCATAATGGTTTTCCTTTTCAATCTAGTCACCTGTCACAAACTCAATATAGTTTTGCTGAAACTTTTCCTTCTTAGTGGAACTCAAGCTAGGCTAAGTTAAAACCTAATCATAGTTCACAATTCCAATACTGGCTAAGATAGTTCATTTTGGAAAACTTCTTCATCATTGATGTTGTTTCTTGATACAGGAGCTTCTTCTTTTCATGTGACCAACAACTTAAATAATATTAAAAAATCATTACTTTTAAACGACCTTATAAATATTTTATTGGAAATGACTAGGTTTTTTTTTTCATACACTCATTTGATACAAAAATTCATAGTTGAACTTGGATTTACTCTTCTCATTCATGCTTCTTTACCAATCATAAACTCAATTTTGGATCCCATGAATGTATTTCCCTTGCATATTCTCCCTCTCAGAAAGGCTACACATGTCTCTGCCCAGATAGAAAAATTTAATCTTTAAATATGTTACTTTTAGTAAGACAAATTTCCATATCATGGTATTTTTCAAAAAAGAAAAAAAATTTAGTTTCACCCAGTTCTTCTTCACCGTTATCTTTGCCAACTATATCCATCTTACCCTTTTCATCCCCACAACTCACTGAACTCTCTTCTATTCCTTCTTTTTCTACTTCTCAGTTTCTTATATTGGCTAATAGTCATGTTCAATCCAGAACCAAGTTTGTCTATTTTTACTTAAAATACTCATTTATGCAAACTAGGTTCAGATCTAGTGTTACTAAAACATTAACAAAACTACATCCATTGTACTGGCTTAGACATAGAATGTTATAAATTTTGTACCAATCAAAGATTGAATCAAAATAAGCCAATTATGATCCGTGCATATGTAGTCATCATCAAATGTTCCGGTGCCTGGGTTTAAAATCAATGTGAAGCGGTGCTTAAAGCAAGCAATTTATTTAGATCTAAATAATTGATGAAGAAAATTCCTTCAAGTCTAGTGGTGCAGTTAAATGCTAAGTAGTTGAAATTTAGTTTACGTGAAAGGTTCGAATTGATTGAATCGATGCAATTGAAGAAGTATTGTTCCCATTGTGGTTAATCAATGATCGCTGGAATTCTTTCAAGGATCTATTCAATGCCTTTGGTATATTTCTAATATAAGTGTTCAAACATATATTTTCGATTAGATATAACTTTCTAGATCTAAATTATTGAATATTTAAATTGTTGTTTGTTTAAGTTTTGTATCAATATTCTATTAGCTTTGATTTGAGTGAATTGTTCATAATTTTTCTTTAAATTCTATTTTCTTTATTTTAGTTTATTTTAAATTTGAGTTGAATTGTTAGAAAAAATTGTTTGTTTGTTTGTTTGAAGTACCTTAAAATTCTGCTAAGCAGCAGAGGAGAGGAAGACAAAGCAGAGACTAGCGGATGGGTGTTTCTTCCTTCGTCATTTCTTCTTGTTTCTTATATTTACTTAAAATAATAATATTGTCTAATATAAATAAATTTTGTCAAATTCATTTTAGAATCTAGAATGATTTTTTCTGAAAGTTTCATAAAAACGTTTAGGAATTAACTTTCTCAAAATATCATGAAAAAATAATTTTGGAACACTAAATTATTTTAGGATTTTTGAAAAATTAATTCCAGAATATTTTTTAAGGTTTTAGGAATTGTTCCAAAAAATTCATTCCAGAACGTTTTTGGAAAATTTCCGAGAATGTCCATTCGGGAAAATTTCAGAATAAGTTTTTTAAAATTTTGCAGATTGACCTTCGTGAAAACCTTTTGGAAACATTTCAGAATAGTCTTCTGGAATATTTATAGAAAGCTAATTTTATAAATTTTTAAAAAGTTTTTAGAAAGATCTCACAAAACTCTTAGAAATTTCATACAAAAAATTTACGAAATAATAATAATAATAATAATAGTAATAATAATAATAATAATAATAATAATAATAATAATAATATATTATTATTATTATATTTATATGTTAAAATAAATAATTATAATTAATAATTTAAATTTAATTAATTAATATTTTTAATTTAAATTATAATATTATATTGTATTTGTATCGTTAACAATATTGATAAAAATTATAATATTTTTAATTATATTTTAATTTTAATATATAAATATTTTTTAAGAGGAGTTAATGGTCTAATTTTTTTTTTAATTTATTAAATTAATAAGATGGATGGAACATATTAAAAATAAGTTAATAGACTAAAACTATTAACGTTTTATTATTTTAAAAATTATTTGATTGAGTCCATCGTATCTAACCCATTTTTAAAGGGAAGCTTTGGGACTTGGTTGCTTACTGACCCTAGTTAGAGTTTTGTGTTGGAAAATTAATAATAATAATAATAATAATAATAATAATATCCTGATTTTGATTCTAACAATCAAACATAAACATAATCCCATACTTGATAAACATGTTGTAAACTGAATGCGAAAGCGTACCTGAATTAGCCATAACGATGATGTCTTTGTAGAGCACTATATTGATCTTATGGTCTTCCACCTGAAGAGCACCTGTATTTCCCTCTTGATTTTCTCTCTTGATGGGGATAGAAAGAAAGGAACAGGACTGATACTTACGTTCTGTGTGTGTGCTCTCAGAAGGGGATCATGACCCTTTAGATAACCAGAATTAGGTTAATTACTTAAGTTTTAGTATTTCCAATTTGGCCCCTCATCAAATTAGAAATTGTTCTATGGTCTCTACACAATTTTATTTTCATGACATATGCTTTTAGCCAAAACTTTAATTTAGTCAGATCACTTTATTATTTGGCTTAATAAATAATGGCCCTAACACATTTAAATTATGTATCATATATATACATGACCCAAATTTTTCCAACAATCTCCCACTTGGTCACAAATATATATGTCCTTACAACCTTACAAATGTGTTAGACTTTATGAGCTCAAAATTGCCATTATATTCCTTTAGCATACTCCAAAAGTCCTGTCCATTAATCATATTAGGATATAGAACCAAACCAGCTTTTCATTGCATCATCGCAACTAAAACCAACAATGATTACTCATCCTAACATAACCAAATGACATGGATTCATCATGAAATGTGTAGCATGAAAAATTACGTGAAGGTGATCTGTACACGTCTATTTTTAACTGGTCCAAACTTTAAGTTATTGAGATCGATATAATATCTTTAATTTACAAAGTGTAATGAATGAACGAAAAAACCGCATATCTATAGATAACCAAATATGTCGAAAAAACAATGTATACATATATGAAATTAAACATAGAACATAAAATATATAAAAGTGACTAACTCCCACTAAACCACAAATTCCTCAAACTGTAAAACACCCATGTGAGCAAAATGCTCATGAAAGACCTTGGGCGGAAGTCCTTTAGTCAGAGGATCTGGTATCATGGAGTTTGTCCTTAAGTGTTCTATGAAAATCTGTCCACTTTGTACTCTTTCCTTAACAATACAGTTGATTTATTGTCACAATATAACTTAAGTGGTCTTTCAATGCCTTTCACAATTTGCAGCCCTGTGACAAAATTTATCAGCCATATTCCATGATTTGATACCTCATAGCAAGTTACAAATTCTTGACATCCTACAAAATCTGAGTCAGAAAACCCAGCGATCTCCAACTGGTCTGACCTCCTATATGTGAGCATATAATCTTTTGTTCTCTTTAAATATCTTATGACCCTTTTTGATGTTTTTCAATGGTCTATTCCTGGATTGCTTAAATATCTGCCTAGAACCCCAACTATATATGCTATGTCTGGATGCGTACATACTTGGACATAGATCAAACTCCCTACAACTGATGCATAGGGAATCTTTTGCATTTCCTCAATTTCCAAATTCCCTTTGGACACTGATTGAGACTAAACTTGTCTCCCTTTAAACTTGTGATACATACAATCATCAACAATATTCATCTTGAAGCCAAATGAGTTTCATACCTTCTGGTAATGGGACAAGTTCCCAATAACCTTATTGTCTTGCATGGACTTATACTCCTCCTTCATTGCTTCAATCCACTTTTCAGAGTTAGAACCTTGCATGGCTTGACGGAAGTTAACTGGGTCATCTTCCATCATACCATTGTTTTCC